TATTGTGCTAACAAGTACTTCCTATATATTACTGAATAAGAGTGGTGATAGTGGGTCTGGTCCCTGTTCACAAAGAAAATGCTTTTAGTCTCTTTTCATTGAGAATGATATTGACTCCTGGTTTTGCCTATATAATTGTCACTATGTTGAGAAAATTTCATTCTATTCAAATTTTGCTGAATATCTTAATCAGGAAGGGGTGTTAGATTTTGTCAAATGCCTTTTCTGCATCATTTGCTAGGATTATAATGGTTCTTGTTATTTGCTTTGTTAATGTGGGGAATTTTGCTGATTGTTTTTGTTGTGTTGAACCATCTCTGCATACCTCTTAGGATTGCCACCTGGTCATGATGAATTCTATTTTTTATGTGCATTTGGATCCTATTGGCTAGGATTTTGTTAAGTATTTTTGTGTCTATGTTCATGAGAGAGCTTGGTCTACAGTTTTCTTTTTTGGTAACATCTTTGCCTGATTTGAGTTTTTGGGTTATGCTGGCTTCGTAGAATGTCTCTGGGAGTGTTCCTTATTTTTCCACTTTTTGAAATAACTTAGGTAGGTTGGTGATAAATATTCTCTGAACGTTTAGCAAAACTCAGCTGTGATGCCATCTGGTATAGGACCTGTTTTTGTGGGAGAGTCTTCTTATGATCTGCTCAATTTCTTTTTTTTGTTCAAGTGTTCACAATATTCCAACATTAATGATTTTATTTCCTCTAGTTTATTGTGATGTCACCTCTATCATTCCTTAATTGAATTATTTGTGTCTTCTCCTTTTTTCTTTTGTTAAGTTTGTCAACGGTTTGTCAATTTTGTTGATGATTTTAAAAAAACAGCTCCTGATCTGATTGATAGTTTCAATTGTTTTCCTATTTTCTATCTCATTTGTTTCAGCTCTTGTTCTTCTAACTTTCTTCCTCTAGAGGTTGTGGAGTTAGATTGTTAATCTTTTTCTTTTTGATGAAGATGTTGAGTTAGATCATAAATTTTCCTTCTTTCTTCATTTTTTATGTGTTTGCCAATTTCTATGAGCTGCTCCCCGTGAGAACTGCCTTAGCTGCATCCCAGAAGTTTTATTACATTGTATTTCCATTATCATTTGTTTTGAGGAATTTTTTTTATCTATTCTTTATCTTTTCTATAACCCAAACATGTTATTGTAGGGTGTATTTTGCTTCTACATTGGTAGTTTCATGAGCTTTATCCTCTTTTGATTAATTTCTAGTTTTATGGCATTATTTGTTGAGAAGATACTTTGTACTATTTCAATGATTTTTAATTTGTTGAGGCTTACTTTATGCCCTTATTTGTGGCCAGTTCTGGAGAATGTACTATGAGAAGCAAGTTAATTGAGTTTTAGTTGGGTGCAGTGCTTAGAATATATTCACAAGATCAAGTTTGCTGAATGTGTAGTTTAGATCTGCATCTTTGTTACATGTCTTTTGAGTTGACTTATCCTTTGGTGAGAGTGATGTATTAAAGTGTCCTACCACTTTTGTGGTGTTATGTATTTCTTTCTTCAATTCTGTTAACATTTGTTTTAGGTATTTATCAAGTCTACCATTTGGTGCATAGATGTTGATCAATGTTATGACTTCTTGATCTACTGTGACTTTAATCATTTTATCATGTCCTTTCTTATCTTTTATGATGGTTTTTATTTTGAAGTCTATTTTATCAGAGATTAGCACTGCCATTCCTGCTTTTTTGTTTGGTATATCCGCCCCCACCCCACCCCCGTCATTTTGAGTCTATCTTTGTCTTCATGTTTTAGATGTGTCTCTCTTTTTTTTTTCATTCAACAGAAGTCATAACTTTATTAATGAATGATAGAAACAGTACAAATTTCAAACCAAACTGCAGTTACTCTTTGGAAACGCCAAAAAAAAAGTCCTCATTTTCCCAGATGGCTACATTGTTAATTCCATAATAGCATTTACAATGTCATTACTGTTGTTCTTCAGGGCTCGGACTGCCTTTGCTCTGGACATGTTTGTTTGTGACATGACTAACTCTATGTCCTTAACTTCAAAACCTGTTTCATCAACCTCTTCCTCTTCACTCTCCTCTTGAACAGAAGGAGTTTGTGTGTTTTCTTGAATGTTTGAGACAGCTTCACCTTGAACTTTGAATTTCTCAGCAGCTGCTAGCTGTGCTTGCTGAGATAAGTCTTCAATCTTGGCTTCACCAAAAATTATGTAGGTGTCTGAAGCCGGGCTCTTATTAACATCTGGGTTTGTGATGACAAAGAGGATATTTTTAGATTTCCAGACAGTGACTCTAGTAACCGCTGTGACTTGTCGAAGTCCCAGTTTGGACATCGCCTTCCTAGCCTTCTTTTCACTCCGACTTTGTTTTGCTTTACTGACTGTTTCTTCATCGATTTCAGCTGCTGCTGCCAGCTGCGCTTGTGTGGTTGCCTGTGTGGAATCCTGTTCCTCAAGCTCTGGTACTGATACATCACTGTCAGATTCTGTTCCTGACCCTGTCTCAGCCTGGGGCTGTGGCAACTCCTGCTCTGTAGCAGGGACGGTTTCTGTGGCTTCACCGGGGCATTATGTGTGGGGAACG